TAAGTCATGATTAAGTTTATACATCCACTAGCATTGACAGAACAGAACAGAATAGAACATATACACGTGAGGTTACGAATAACCAGTTCCGTAAAGGAACCTCTGGATCCAGCCAACAGAATAGAAGTTGAGCCCCTGTGACAGGGCCTCCGGTACGGGTAACAGAGTGTAGACAGAAATAAGTTCCATAAAGGAACCTCCGATACCGAGTAACAGCTAACAGATATCACATGATGCTAAGGATGTCACGAATACCTATCAGAAATTAAACAATCATTCATTGTACAGAACATATCATTTCGGAAAACAGATCTTATTTTATCACACAGAAAGTAGATACAGTTTGAACATAACTTTACCAAGTTATTACTTACAATTGGCCTTGAAACAGACAGACGGAGCAGATTGATCACACGATACGCGGCACGTGACCTACATAACACATAACAGACACACACTTGAAACACACATTCTAATTGCACAAAACTTACGTCGTTAGTTCTTGGTGTGTTTCTAACCTTAAATCCTCACTAAAGAGTTTTAAACATGGTCTAGGAATGCCTAGGATAGAATGAGGATGTAAAGATGTCTTGGAAAACATTTTTCAAAACTTGCTGAAAATAGGGGTCTCGCTCGAGCGAGGCTTTCTTCGCTCAAGCGAGCTTGTCAAAACAGAGGGGTCGCTCGAGCGTAGACTCCTTCGCTCAAGCGGTCTGTAAAAAAGCAAAAGTATTGGTTGTTGAAATTTTACACTCGATGCTCGCTCGAGCGTGAGACACAGCTCTTCGCTCGAGCGTAGGTCTCGTCACTCGAGCGTGCATCTATGTGCACCAAAAACCTGAGAGCTTGGAATTTACGCTCGAGCCACCATTCCTTCGCTCGAGCGAAGCTCTGAACAAACGATGGTAGCTCGAGCGTGGAATCCTTCGCTCGAGCGAGGAAGCCAAATTCTAGAATTTCCAGATTTGCCTCCCAAGCTCAAACCAAGCATTCAACACCTCAAATCTCAACCCTTTGGGCCCATTTTTTGGAAAACACTTGTAAACTCATAGTATAAGATGATTCAAAGATCAATTTGTAAAATCAAAGCCCAAGGGTGAGTCAATTGAACACAATTTCAAATAAAACTTCAAGAACAAAACAAGAGCTTAATATGCAAGTGTTCATTTTAAATCCAATGCTCTAAAACATGACCAAATGTAAGATTGAGCTCAAAATCATGATGAATTCATGGACTAAGGCTAGAATATGGGCTTGCATGCAAGAACTTCCATGTAGACACTTCAAAATGCTATGATATGAACATGCATGCATGATTTAAGCCTCAATTCAACATATTAAGCTAATTCATGCCTTAAATCACTATCCTTACCATGAATCATGCAAGAACAACTCAAACTCACAATTAAAAGGGTGAGTCTCCTACCTCAAGTCCTCAATTTCAAGAATGGAAGCTCAATTGTGCAGTCTACTCTTCAATTCTTCAAGTTCTCCAAGTAATTCTCTAGATGAAACCGAACTTCTCCTCTCTCACTCTCTCCTACCGTTTTGGTCTCTCAAAGATGAGCAAATGACATGAAATCAAGCTCTAGACAAAGTTTAACAAAGTAGTCCACTAAGTGACATTTTGGTAAATAAGCCAACTAATGTAATTTACCATTATTTAATCTAATTTAATCATTCTAAATCACATTTCAATCAAATCTACCATAAAATCATATAAATTCTAATTAGCATAAAACATTAATCAATCTCTGAATCGGTCATCGATAAGGCTTTCAATTCGCAGTTCAAAGTCAAAACATAAACAGATCATTTTATGGCCAACAAATAAAAACACAAAGATAATGCAATACATATGCAATTTAATTCCGGATTCCTTCTAAATTACTATTAGGCATAAATAATCATGGTTTAGCATTAATCGAAGGTCGAGGTTATTATATTTCCGAAATAAAATTAATATCAATGTTGTGCTCTGAAGTTTGTGATTTCTCAAACATTTCAAAATCTTTCATAGTTTGAAGAAAATTCAGTAGGATACAATCTCCAACTTACAGTGAAATATATTATAATGATATAGACTAACGCTGAGAAATAGATAATATACACTGAAGCTCACAAAGAAAGTAGAAATTGTAATATATTGTCAAACTGAAGCTCACAAAGAAAATACAAATTCGAATGATATAGTGAAGTTCAAAGATTGGTATGTTTTATAGATCACAGTAACGGTAATAACAGTAACGGTAAGTTTGTCAAATACTCTGTAACACCAACGGTAACTTATTGGAGTTGCAAGTACAGAATGGCTATATTTGATACAAATTTAAATCTATATACAATGCAACTTTTCCATGTTGCATTTTGATAGAAATTTAAATCTATATCAACCTTGAATTTATTGTTAGTGCCACAAAAACAACATAATTGTGAAACAATTCGTAGGCCAACCAAACACTGAAGCACTGCGCAGCATGTTTTCTTTTTTTGTATGCAAATGACGACCTGTAGGACGACCGGTAGGATAGCCGGTCGGACGTCTAGCCGATTGTCTGATGGGATCCACCTCCAATGTAAACACACAGTACTTTGCTAAAATCTGATGCAGCTCCTCATTTTGGTGAAAGTTTTTGCTCGTTCTCAATTTGATATCATTTTGGTGAAACCGTTGGAGAGCTAAAAGTGATTTTTTTTCATCAAATTTAAATCTAGTGCTGAATCTGATTCGCCGTTGGAGATGGTCTAATGAAAAGGTTTTCAAAATTTGGGAATGAAAGGGGTTTTTGGTAATTTTAGATAAGAATAAAAATGTAATAAAAAAGATAAAATTAAAAAGGTATAAAGAGTTGAAAGTATGATGTAAGTAGAATTACCGTTCTGTGTGAGTGATTTTCTGACCACACTGCCCGCTTAGTAACCAGCTGGAGAGCACCGGCAGAATAGATGGCACCTGACTGACCTGCAACAGAAAGAGAAGATTCCGGCGGTGGTTCGTCCACCCGGGGGCACTCCGACGATCAAGTCAGTATATCTCTCAAAGATAAATCAAGTGCTAAACTCACAAGCTTAAGTATCAAAAGCATACCTTAGACTCATGGGGGTGCCTCTCCTTTATAGCCAACATAAACCTAGTCCCAATAGAAGCCTAACTTCTATGGTCTCACGATTATTGCTAATCTTGGACTCCCAGTAAGATTAGGATAAACTCTTTAAGAGTCTTATCTTAATACAAACTGAAGTCTTCTCTCATTCTAAGACTCTTGCCCCTTATCCGCTTATCTCGGATTTCGATATCTTCGAAGGTAACCTCGGCCTATCCGAGATGACCTCGGCATAACAACCAGGATACGTGGCACCTCGGCTGACACGTCGGCGTCACCTTGGCCACGTGTTGGTACTCGGAAAATATATCCCCACAACTGCCCCCTAGGTTCTATTACCTTGGCATTCTGAGGTGATGGAACCTATATCATTCCTTCCTGCTAGTACATCGGCTTAGCCGAGATCATCATCATAGGCCGATATGTCTTTTTAGAGATCAAGAATTCCAAGAGCTTCTTCATGCGTATGAGCTGTTATACATAACAACTCAACCATTTTAGGCCACATGCCTTCCCATTACTGGATCGTACTTGTTACGCGTTCGTAAGTCGTCTCGCGCCTACATGCGCCGTCTGACGTATTAGCTGTTCCAGGCGCATTAATTGCCCTGTTTTTGCCGCCGTTTCAATTTTTTGACAAAACTTGTTTCCCCCTTTCGTTTTTCTCACTTTACATTGTCTTTATTCAGAACTCTTTCTCTCTCTAGCTTCCTCTAATCCTCCATTTTTCCAAGCTCTGAAGCTCTGCAACTTGCTCCATCCATTTCTTCCGTCGAAGTTCTTGCCAATCTATTCTGCTGCCGCCGTTCTTCTGACTTCGGCGATCTCAAGCATCGGTTTCTTTTCTCTGGTAAGTCACCACTCCTCCTGGTTTTCAATTCTTGTTGTGTTCCATGAAATTCTGTTTCATCATTTAGTCGCCATTGCTGTTTTACTCGAATATTTGATTTGCGAATCATGTATCTAAACATGTTTATTTCATAATTTTGCTCTTTGTCCATGTCTTGAACACTCGCATTGTTCACCACTTTCTTGCACTTTTGCCACTGTTCTTGACCTTATACCCTTTGTACTCACTATGTTCTTGATAGTCCATCTTTGTTCTTAATTCTGAGACTTGTTCTTGTTTTCTGTTTTTTTGTGTCTTTTCCAGATTTGTGCCTTCAATCTTCGTTTCCATAGGCTTAGGTTTGGGATTTGCCTGTAGAACCCACAATTTAGGGCAAAACTAAAACATCCCTTACAAATTTCTGCACCAACTCAAACCTAGGTTTTTTGCCGAGGTCCCAATAACCCTTTTTGAAACATCTTCTTTTTGAAATCCAATACCTTTAGTTATTCCGATATTATGGGTATGTGGAAACATCGGGTAGACACCCCTTCAAAGCTAGAATTTTTAGGCAAGAGTTTGAAATCCCAGCCGATGTCAATTTGAGGTTGGCTGGGGATAATGACTCCATCATGCCTACAGACAACTCCATGCCCTTCCCTGTGGTTGCTTTTATTGAGTGTGGACTTCGGTTTCCACTTGACCCTTTTTTTCATCAAATCCTTCACTTCTATAAGTTGAACCCAATGCAACTCGCCATCAATTCTTACCGAGTTATTACTGGTACCATAGCTTTAGTCAAACAAGAGAATTCCAGGATTACGCTTGCCGATTTCCAGTACTATTATACCATGTGTCGCCTTAGAAAAGACACAAACTATGTCTATTACCTCAAGCTGAGATCCACTGAATATAAAATCGTAGCCGACCTCCCAGACTCCAACAAGGGCGCTGGAGACGATTACTTCATCGTCTTGCGCAATTGGGAGTTTCAGCCAAACGATGACCTCCATCTTTATCCCTTAAGCCGAACAGTTCTTGGGGAAGGAGCTGGTAAGGGCCACCCATCATAAGTTTTCTTATCTTCTTGCATAAAGTTTTCAATATTCTGTTCTAATGTCTGTGCTGTTCTATCTTTGCAGTTCTTCCTCAGCCTCCAAAGAACTTTCGCCAATCTTTCTTCCCCAACAAGGATTTGAAGAAGCTACTGAACCTTCCGATTCACAAATGGAAGGCGCCTTTGCTTCTCAACTTTATCCCAACTTATAAGTCAGCTCTGCCCGACGTCCCTAAGAGGAAGAAGAAAAGCCTTTCTCCACCTTCTGCTACAACTTCACAGACTGCGTCCACATCTCAGACAGATCAAGGGTCAACTTCCGATCCAGCTGATCAGCCATCAACCTCGGCTCCATACTTGATTCCAATATCACAACGCTGCCGCCGCCGCCGCCGAATAGTTTTTACTGCCGAGATGGGTCGCCCAAAACCAATTGCAAAAGATCTCTTGGCCAGCATCCCTTCTGATGTTGATGCACAACCAACACAAACCCTGCCTCCTCCAAAGCCAAAGCGAATCAAGAAGGCTCAACCAAAGGCTAAGGTAACTCAGACTGAATCTGTGGATACTTTGCCGATCTCCAAGTTGGCTGAGAGTGACAAATCTCAACCCTCTGCTGGGAAGAGGCGCTCTGAAGCCCAGCCATCAGAATCCCCAAAATCAAAAAAGCCGAGGTCATCTTCTGTGACCACCTCGGGGTCTAAAAAGAATGATGCCCCCTAGGCTCCAAAAATTACTCTGGAAGATAAGCCAGTCATGGCTAACGATAGTGCTGATGACATCAACATCGGCGTAGCCCTCAGTACTGCTCTGCTCCTCCCCGGCGATCTTAATCGAAACGCCGAAATGAACGAGTACGAAAACTACGCTTTGATGCTTCAACGTTCTGTTCAAGTAAGTGTCTTTCATCTGGCACCTTTTTCCTTTTCTCTCATACTTAGAAATTTTCTAATAACTTCTGTTTTATTCAATTTCAGGCCATCCAGCATGCCCATTCTTTCTCTGTTCAATCTTTCGAAAATCGAGAGAAGTTGGCCGAGATGAAGAAGAAGTTCTCTGCTCTTCAAAAACCCAACAAGAGTTTACAATCAAAGATGAAAAAGTTGGAGGACCAAGTCGAGGTTGCAATCAAAGCCCAAACTAACGCTGAAGAGAAGGCTGAATCTGCCGAAGCCATCAGAAAGGTTTCTGAGTCCCAAAGAAAAGCGGCCGAGGAGAAGATGGCCCAAGCCGAAAAAGAGCTTCAAGAAGCCTTGGCCACCAAAGAGGTTGAAATCAAAGACGCCGACGAGAAGGCATATGCTCAAGGTATGGCCGATGTCATGGAGGCTTATGAAATTCAAGTAAAGCAGGCATGCAACAAGGGTTTCACCCTTGGTTGGATGTCTCTTCTAAAGAAGCTTGAGGTCCCCGGGGACTCGCCACTTCGGAAAGCCGACGCCATTCCTCTTTCGTTCCCTCCAACTCCTTCACCAACTTAATCCGATGACGAATCTGAATCTGAAGACAAGACCCTGGTGAGAAAACCCAAGGAAGCAACTAGGGCCAAGTCTCCTCCTCAAAATGAGCAAGTCCTAGACTTGACTCAAGATGAGGAGGATGAGGAGGTTTGCAAAGAAGCTGCTCCTGAGAAAGCTTTATCCGATGTCTCCCTTGCCGACAAGAGTATTGATGAAACCTTGCAAGAAATTGATGCTGAGCTTGCGGCAGAAAAGGCGGCCGAGATGGCTTCTCAACAGCCTTCCGAGGTCCAAACCCAGCCTGTTGTTGATGTTGAGGAATCTTAATTTCAATGTCTTTTCTTTTGTACTTTGTTTTTCTTTGTTTTTGAAACAATGTAAGCCCTCCGTATGGCCGATGTGCCCTCTCTTTGTTGAATGCTAATACAACTTTCCTTCACTGAGTGCTTGTACCTTTGTCTTTTCTTGATTGCTTTTGCGTGATTCTATACTTAGAATGTTCTGCATGTCTTTCACATACTCTTCCTTCTTTGTATAATTTTCTCGGGGTGACACACCTCGGATAGCCAAACTTCTCGGTTTAACTTAACTTGTAAACTTTTAACAAGTGTTGAACATCATACTGGTTTAACTCAACTTGTAAATTGCTACAAATTCAACAAGTGTTTAAACAATAATCTGGGTTTAACTTTGGCTTGTAAATTGTTACGAATTTCAACAAGTGTTAAACAATAATTTCGGTTTAACTTGTAAATTATCTACAAATTTCAACAAGTGTTAAACAATAATTTCGGTTTAACTTGTAAATTATCTACAAATTTCAACAAGTGTTAAACAATAATTTCGGTTTAACTTGTAAATTATCTACAAATTTCAACAAGTGTTAAACAATAATTTCGGTTTAACTTGTAAATTATCTACAAATTTCAACAAGTGTTAAACAATGATCTCGGTTTAACTTCAACTTGTAAATTGTCCACAAATTTCAACAAGTGTTAAACAATAATTTCGGTTTAACTTGTAAATTATCTACAAATTTCAACAAGTGTTAAACAATAATTTCGGTTTAACTTGTAAATTATCTACAAATTTCAACAAGTGTTAAACAATAATTTCGGTTTAACTTGTAAATTATCTACAAATTTCAACAAGTGTTAAACAATAATTTCGGTTTAACTTGTAAATTATCTACAAATTTCAACAAGTGTTAAACAATAATTTCGGTTTAACTTGTAAATTATCTACAAATTTCAACAAGTGTTAAACAATAATTTCGGTTTAACTTGTAAATTATCTACAAATTTCAACAAGTGTTAAACAATAATTTCGGTTTAACTTGTAAATTATCTACAAATTTCAACAAGTGTTAAACAATAATTTCGGTTTAACTTGTAAATTATCTACAAATTTCAACAAGTGTTAAACAATAATTTCGGTTTAACTTGTAAATTATCTACAAATTTCAACAAGTGTTAAACAATAATTTCGGTTTAACTTGTAAATTATCTACAAATTTCAACAAGTGTTAAACAATAATTTCGGTTTAACTTGTAAATTATCTACAAATTTCAACAAGTGTTAAACAATAATTTCGGTTTAACTTGTAAATTATCTACAAATTTCAACAAGTGTTAAACAATAATTTCGGTTTAACTTGTAAATTATCTACAAATTTCAACAAGTGTTAAACAATAATTTCGGTTTAACTTGTAAATTATCTACAAATTTCAACAAGTGTTAAACAATAATTTCGGTTTAACTTGTAAATTATCTACAAATTTCAACAAGTGTTAAACAATAATTTCGGTTTAACTTGTAAATTATCTACAAATTTCAACAAGTGTTAAACAATAATTTCGGTTTAACTTGTAAATTATCTACAAATTTCAACAAGTGTTAAACAATAATTTCGGTTTAACTTGTAAATTATCTACAAATTTCAACAAGTGTTAAACAATGATTTCGGTGTAACTTCAACTTGTAAATTGTTCACAAATTTCAACAAGTGTTAAACAATGATTTCGGTGTAACTTCAACTTGTAAATTGTTCACAAATTTCAACAAGTGTTAAACAATGATTTCGGTGTAACTTCAACTTGTAAATTGTTCACAAATTTCAACAAGTGTTAAACAATGATTTCGGTGTAACTTCAACTTGTAAATTGTTCACAAATTTCAACAAGTGTTAAACAATGATTTCGGTGTAACTTCAACTTGTAAATTGTTCACAAATTTCAACAAGTGTTAAACAATGATTTCGGTGTAACTTCAACTTGTAAATTGTTCACAAATTTCAACAAGTGTTAAACAATGATTTCGGTGTAACTTCAACTTGTAAATTGTTCACAAATTTCAACAAGTGTTAAACAATGATTTCGGTGTAACTTCAACTTGTAAATTGTTCACAAATTTCAACAAGTGTTAAACAATGATTTCGGTGTAACTTCAACTTGTAAATTGTTCACAAATTTCAACAAGTGTTAAACAATGATTTCGGTGTAACTTCAACTTGTAAATTGTTCACAAATTTCAACAAGTGTTAAACAATGATTTCGGTGTAACTTCAACTTGTAAATTGTTCACAAATTTCAACAAGTGTTAAACAATGATTTCGGTGTAACTTCAACTTGTAAATTGTTCACAAATTTCAACAAGTGTTAAACAATGATTTCGGTGTAACTTCAACTTGTAAATTGTTCACAAATTTCAACAAGTGTTAAACAATGATTTCGGTGTAACTTCAACTTGTAAATTGTTCACAAATTTCAACAAGTGTTAAACAATGATTTCGGTGTAACTTCAACTTGTAAATTGTTCACAAATTTCAACAAGTGTTAAACAATGATTTCGGTGTAACTTCAACTTGTAAATTGTTCACAAATTTCAACAAGTGTTAAACAATGATTTCGGTGTAACTTCAACTTGTAAATTGTTCACAAATTTCAACAAGTGTTAAACAATGATTTCGGTGTAACTTCAACTTGTAAATTGTTCACAAATTTCAACAAGTGTTAAACAATGATTTCGGTGTAACTTCAACTTGTAAATTGTTCACAAATTTCAACAAGTGTTAAACAATGATTTCGGTGTAACTTCAACTTGTAAATTGTTCACAAATTTCAACAAGTGTTAAACAATGATTTCGGTGTAACTTCAACTTGTAAATTGTTCACAAATTTCAACAAGTGTTAAACAATGATTTCGGTGTAACTTCAACTTGTAAATTGTTCACAAATTTCAACAAGTGTTAAACAATGATTTCGGTGTAACTTCAACTTGTAAATTGTTCACAAATTTCAACAAGTGTTAAACAATGATTTCGGTGTAACTTCAACTTGTAAATTGTTCACAAATTTCAACAAGTGTTAAACAATGATTTCGGTGTAACTTCAACTTGTAAATTGTTCACAAATTTCAACAAGTGTTAAACAATGATTTCGGTGTAACTTCAACTTGTAAATTGTTCACAAATTTCAACAAGTGTTAAACAATGATTTCGGTGTAACTTCAACTTGTAAATTGTTCACAAATTTCAACAAGTGTTAAACAATGATTTCGGTGTAACTTCAACTTGTAAATTGTTCACAAATTTCAACAAGTGTTAAACAATGATTTCGGTGTAACTTCAACTTGTAAATTGTTCACAAATTTCAACAAGTGTTAAACAATGATTTCGGTGTAACTTCAACTTGTAAATTGTTCACAAATTTCAACAAGTGTTAAACAATGATTTCGGTGTAACTTCAACTTGTAAATTGTTCACAAATTTCAACAAGTGTTAAACAATGATTTCGGTGTAACTTCAACTTGTAAATTGTTCACAAATTTCAACAAGTGTTAAACAATGATTTCGGTGTAACTTCAACTTGTAAATTGTTCACAAATTTCAACAAGTGTTAAACAATGATTTCGGTGTAACTTCAACTTGTAAATTGTTCACAAATTTCAACAAGTGTTAAACAATGATTTCGGTGTAACTTCAACTTGTAAATTGTTCACAAATTTCAACAAGTGTTAAACAATGATTTCGGTGTAACTTCAACTTGTAAATTGTTCACAAATTTCAACAAGTGTTAAACAATGATTTCGGTGTAACTTCAACTTGTAAATTGTTCACAAATTTCAACAAGTGTTAAACAATGATTTCGGTGTAACTTCAACTTGTAAATTGTTCACAAATTTCAACAAGTGTTAAACAATGATTTCGGTGTAACTTCAACTTGTAAATTGTTCACAAATTTCAACAAGTGTTAAACAATGATTTCGGTGTAACTTCAACTTGTAAATTGTTCACAAATTTCAACAAGTGTTAAACAATGATTTCGGTGTAACTTCAACTTGTAAATTGTTCACAAATTTCAACAAGTGTTAAACAATGATTTCGGTGTAACTTCAACTTGTAAATTGTTCACAAATTTCAACAAGTGTTAAACAATGATTTCGGTGTAACTTCAACTTGTAAATTGTTCACAAATTTCAACAAGTGTTAAACAATGATTTCGGTGTAACTTCAACTTGTAAATTGTTCACAAATTTCAACAAGTGTTAAACAATGATTTCGGTGTAACTTCAACTTGTAAATTGTTCACAAATTTCAACAAGTGTTAAACAATGATTTCGGTGTAACTTCAACTTGTAAATTGTTCACAAATTTCAACAAGTGTTAAACAATGATTTCGGTGTAACTTCAACTTGTAAATTGTTCACAAATTTCAACAAGTGTTAAACAATGATTTCGGTGTAACTTCAACTTGTAAATTGTTCACAAATTTCAACAAGTGTTAAACAATGATTTCGGTGTAACTTCAACTTGTAAATTGTTCACAAATTTCAACAAGTGTTAAACAATGATTTCGGTGTAACTTCAACTTGTAAATTGTTCACAAATTTCAACAAGTGTTAAACAATGATTTCGGTGTAACTTCAACTTGTAAATTGTTCACAAATTTCAACAAGTGTTAAACAATGATTTCGGTGTAACTTCAACTTGTAAATTGTTCACAAATTTCAACAAGTGTTAAACAATGATTTCGGTGTAACTTCAACTTGTAAATTGTTCACAAATTTCAACAAGTGTTAAACAATGATTTCGGTGTAACTTCAACTTGTAAATTGTTCACAAATTTCAACAAGTGTTAAACAATGATTTCGGTGTAACTTCAACTTGTAAATTGTTCACAAATTTCAACAAGTGTTAAACAATGATTTCGGTGTAACTTCAACTTGTAAATTGTTCACAAATTTCAACAAGTGTTAAACAATGATTTCGGTGTAACTTCAACTTGTAAATTGTTCACAAATTTCAACAAGTGTTAAACAATGATTTCGGTGTAACTTCAACTTGTAAATTGTTCACAAATTTCAACAAGTGTTAAACAATGATTTCGGTGTAACTTCAACTTGTAAATTGTTCACAAATTTCAACAAGTGTTAAACAAT